CGATAACCGCGATATGCGCATGCGCGATATTCACACCGCAGGGACGTGCGGTTTTCTTCTTCTTTTTTTTAACGTTGCTAACGCACTTTAGCACAGAATTCAAAATAAAGATACGCTTATTACTTATCGAAACTGCACATATAATATATCCGATTAAAGCTGAGACACCACAGATTATTTAAGAATAGTATCATCGCTAAGCGATCCGATCTCGCGACACAGGAAGCAAACACAGACATCACAACACGTACCTTTACGGAGCTTTTACGGGAGATCGTCTCACAGAAGCTGTCAATCTGATCAAAAGACGTGTTCAATGGCATTAAAACGAGAAAAAACCCGGACTGAATCAGTTGATCCATAGGTTAATAATGTATCTGTGGCTTTGAAGCAATTGTTTATAATCCATAATTCCATTTTTATGTAAAAATCGGAGCACAAAAGTTAGCTGCTAATGGTAGCCACCAGAGTGTATGCAGCTTCCGTCTCTTCATAAACTCAGGCAACACTAACCAGGCTTCGTGTGATTCTGTTTATTTGTACCTTACTTTGACCATCCGTTCACTATTATTGATCATTGTGGAGAGCAGGCAGACGTTTTGTTTTGTATTATAGCAGCTATCGGATGGAATCAATACATGGGCTGCACAGGTTGTCGTGTCCGACTATCACAAGTAGAATCATAATGAAAAATACGCCGGTAAAATGTGCCTGTAGAAAACGGTTTATGCCACAATAGGATAGCAGCAACTAGTCAGTTTACCTTCGGTTGCTATGCTGACATCACCCATTTTATACCAGAGAAACTTTCATAACAGCGTTGTGATGCCAAACAGCGTCAATTCAGACTGACACACATTCCCTTAAGGGGAACTGGGGATATGTATCAGCTGCTTGTGTGACAGTCGGACAGTGAATACCTTAGAGAGGCCGCTCTAAAGTATTAGCTAACCCGGAGCTAACGGGAGAATAAACTCCTGTGGAAGAGCAGCCAGCACTGCAGCGGTCGGTAAATGCCGCTGAAACACATTAATAAACAATGAACCACGGCACTCTGGAGAAAAGTATAAGCTTGGAGAAGTCATTATTTTATTTAATCTGACTTCGTGTGATTAAAAGCAACACGATCATCGACCCGACGCAGTCCCCCGTTTTTGTTGTTGTTGTTGTTGTTGTTGTGAGTGCCGTTGGGCAGCAAATCAGCGATGTAAACGGTGACGTCATGACGCAGCAGCGGCTGCACCAGTCGGGCTCTGGGTGGTGTGAACAAAGCGGGAGCAGAAAAGGGAAACCGGAGCTGAACCAGAAAAGCTCTAGCTCGGAGCTAGAAAGGGAAAAGCGCTGGTGTGAAAGCCGCAACAGAGAGCCGCACTGACGCGTCCTTAAACCCGGAAGTAAACTTCATCCGGTTCCTTCGTCAAAAAACAATGCGAATTCTCCATAGGATTTTGGAAAATAGCTTGAAATAAGGTCTGTGGTTGACACACATTTAAGAAAGGGATCACGTTTTGTTCAGCCGGATAATCTCCAAATGTCAACCCTACTTTTATAATTTTTGAACCATAAATCTAGTCGCCAGAAGCAAAATGCTAACGTTATGCTATAAACGAACTACAAGCCAGTACAGCAGCAGGGCTGCTGTGGCTGCTTCTACAAAAGGAAAACTTGCACGACTCTCATGTCAGGGGTACTTGAGTGAGTGACATGCAGGCTCTGCATGCACAGCAAACCACCAATCACAATCATTCTTGATCATATCACAGCAGGCCCCGCCCCGCTAGTTTGCAGACCATCAAAACACCGGTAAAAAAATGGCACAGGAGGACAATACCTTCATCCGGTTAAATATAGTTAAAAAAAACGCAATATCGCAGGGGGGGGGGAAATCGCGATGTCAGTGTTTTTCAATATCGTGCCCTAGAGGATACACTTCAGTGGTGTTAAATAGATAATTTTACATAGATCACGTGTTGATAATCTTGCTCTGGAATCAATCTGAGACCCAGGATTTCCCCAATTGAAAAAACACAAGTCTACCAAAGTACTGTAGTTTCATGGGAATTCCCACTTGACGAAACAGTCACAGTGGAGTTGAAAGTGGAGTTCCAATTAATTTTATAAAGTGATTTCTGGAGCTAGTCACTGCCTTTCATTAAAAAACTATTGATTGCATCCACCTTGTATAAAAGAGTTTCAGTCCTGCCTTAAGGCAATTCGATTTTCACTATATTTTAATAATTATTTTAAATAAACCGTAGTGCTTCTTGTAAATCAAGGTTTCTTCTACTATACCCAGGGTTGGATATATTTACCTTAAATTTATCTGTACCAGTTATTTTGTATTGCCTCAACACAAAATGAGGGAAAAAAAGACAAGAGAAAAGAAAAATGCTTTTTATTTGAAGCAGAAATGCGGAACAAAATGGAACAGCAGAATGCAAGTTAACAGCTGGAAACATTTTATTATTCTCCAAGGACTAGAATCACACATTAGTGTAGCAACATTTTAGCTTAGAACTAAATTAACCAAATGCAAATGTCATAGTTTGGTCTGAATTCTGTTTGATGGACCAGAAAGTGAAGCGTTTTGTTCGTTTCCTATGAAAAATGGGATGAGTCTTTGCAAAAAGAATCATCATGATGAACTCAAAGTACAGTTAACATTGTGCTTTGCAATAACTTGCACTGTACTCTGATGTTGTTTGTATAGCACATGCTGTACAAATAATAGCAAAATCCATCAAGTGAAACCATTTTTTCCTGTAACTCTATATGGCAAAAAAGGTTTAAGATGTGCTTAAAGGCAATCAGTAAATGTGCCTGTGAAGATTTCTTTAAGCAAGACTCATGTCTGCAAACTATGCTCTCTAAGGTAAATAATCAAATGTCTGTTTTGTAGCAGAGGTGTCGTGTCAAACCCTGCCCCTTTCAAACAATCTTTCTTCTTGATGCTGGTATCGCCTGTCATTTATTTGCGGGAGGAAATGTTAGTGTTGAGTACACTTTTCTTGTCATACTATAATTAATGACCTGTCATTTCTAACGATCCACCCATTTTATGTCCTCACAGTGGCAGAAGGCTTAGTAAAGTAGAAGAGACGTCCATCTCCAAGCAAGTTGGGTTTTGTTAAGATTCTCCTGTAGGATCATTCCTTATAGGGCTGTTAAAGTTTATACGTTAATCGTTGCGATAAATCAGTAAACTTTGATGTGTAAGAAAAAAAAGAAAGTATGAAATTGAATCCTGTTACCAAGTTTGACCCTAACTTCCTCCCGTAATGCCAGCACAGATTTCCACCATTAAATGTATGGTAGTGAAGCAGATAAATTGGCACAAGAGACATGTAATGCACTGACTGGAGACTTCTGGACATCAGTAAGAACTATAACTACTTCAGTGTAACAGCACAAATTACCCATGACAAATGTTCTAAGTTCGCTTTAGGTGTGGCGAATAAAAGGTTGTCCAGGAGGGGGAGATGCCGGACGAGTTCACCACTGTAGATAGTGCTGGCAATTTGATATCAGCTGCAACAACACTGCCATAAATGGTACATGCCTTCGGAGTAGTTGACATGGTTACCTCTGCCAATGGATGTTGTGTTTTGGCTTGGTCTGTTTTTCTGTTCCCTCTATATTACAGAAAAGATAATGGCCTTATTGTCATGAAACTTTGTGGAAAGGTGTAGCATGGGCCAAGGAAGAAACCATTACTTTCCGTGGGGATCCAAATCACGGGGCAGATGCACAGATTAGGTTTCATTTTCGTTAATATTGTAAGATTCAACCTTCTTGATGCAATTCATGTGGTGACGAAATGGTGGTGTCACATATTCGACTTATCTAAGAAGCCTTTGAATGCAGCATCTGCGCTCTCCCAGTGTCGTCGTCAATCTGACATTTTCCAAGTTTTCTACACTTCCAAACTAACACTAACATAATACATAATCCTGTATAAACCTGTAGTTGAAGTCTTCTTTGACTTTGTATATCTTCACAACATTCCAGATCAAGCCTTGTGCAAATGTACCTACCCTCTTTGTAATCAGTTCACAGTGAAAATGGATCTTCCTGAATGCTGATGCAGACAGCCTTTGTTGCTTTTTATAAGTTAAAATACTAGATGTAGGATCTTTACTCAAAAGACACAGCATAAAGCCTTCACCAAAATTAGAAACAACTTGTAATTAACATAAATTATCTACTCCTCCCTCACTCTTTCACACACCCCACCTCTCCTTTTAATCAATCTCAACATCACAGGAACTTGTGGAAGATGTCACCTTTTTCCATGTTTGAGATCAGTGTTAGGGCTGCTTTAATATGTGTTATCACACTGACACCCGTTGACTGTCTCTGTGTCTGTCTCTGTGCAGCCATGTTCACGGAGGTGCCTCATGATATGATGGCTCAGAGCGGTCAGGACGTGGAGATGGCCTGCTCCTTCAGAGGGGCCGGGACCCCCTCCTACTCTCTGGAGATCCAGTGGTGGTACATCAGGAACCATGCGGACTGGACGGACAGACAGCCCTGGACAACCAATGAGGTATGACCATAACAGGAACTCTGAATGCCTTCTAATGCTATTTTTCTTTTGGGATATGATTGACATGTGTAAATATTCACTCATTACTTTTAACGTTTTTTTTAAACTGCAACTTCTTTGCACATTTTATAATGTGTTCATCTTTTATTTAGAAGTAATAGGTTAGTCTGTAACGGAGGTGATCTTTTGGGCCATAGATCTCAGCCTCCGTTACGGATTGTGTAGATTTGTTGGTGGCGAAGTGTAAGTAGTTTGTGCATCTGTCTGTGTTTTAGTTTGTCTGTCTCTGTTTGCTGGTTTTATTCTGAAAAGTGTTCCCCTTCCCCCATGTCTGTTACGGCTGATTGTGTGCACCTGGTGCCCCGTGTTGTCTCCTCCCCCCTCACCTGTGTCTTGTTGGGTTGATTGGGTTGTGCATTTAGGCTCTGGGGTTTTTCTGTTAGGTAGAGGTGTGTGAGATCCTTGTGGCTGGTGACTGTGCTCACGGGAACAGCAAGATTGAGGCTGTGTCCTGTGCTCAAGTTTAATAAATGCCCACACCGGGTTATAATTTTGGATGTCTGCCTCTGCCTCCTTGCTTGGTCGGGCCGCTCAATTGTCAGCTTCACAATTGGTGTCAGAAGTGGGATTGACCAAGTGAGGAGGGGAAAATTATGGAGGAACTGAGGGAGATGATGAGATCACTCCTGCAGCTTCAGGCAGCCGGTGAGCGGCAGTTCGCACGGGTACAGGAATGGGAATCCATGATGGAAGAGGAACGGAGACTCCGGAGGCAAGACGGCAGATTGGCTGGAGGCTCGACGGGCACTAACTCTGCAGCTGAGGCATCAAAGATCCTGGCGGAGAACTGGAGATTGGTGCAAGAGCAGAAAGAGGAGCAGCTCCGGTTACAGAGGGAGGAAGGTGAGAAAGGAAGAGGAGATGCGCTTAGCGGAGGAGGCTCGTCTGATACGCCTGGCAGAGGAGAAGAAAATCAAAGACCAGGAAGATGCTTTTCTAGCCGAGGAGGAGCGGGTGAAAATGGCCGAAAAGATCCGTCAGGAGAGAGAGCGCGTCGGGCAGCAGAACCAGCAGGAGCACCAGAAAAAGGAAGAATCAGATCCCAAAGAGGAAGAAAGGGAAGCTTCCTTCTGACTTCACGCCCCCCCTGAGGAAACCAGGCTGCACAAGGGGAAGCAGAAACCTTGCAGGGAAGCCAAGATTTTTAAGACACTGTGCTTCCGGGGGAGAGGGGTGAGGAAATGTCACTGAGGTGATCTTTGGGGCCATAGATCTCGGCCTCCATCATGGGTTGTATAGCTTCATTGTGGTTGATTGTGTTCACTTGGTGCCCTGTGTTGACTCCTCCCCCCTCACCTGTGTGTTGTTGATTGATTAGTGTGTGTATTTAAGCTCTGTTTTCCCTGTCAGTGGACAGGTAGTGTGTGGGTGATCCTTGTAACTGCTGACTGTGTTCAGGGAGGACAGTCATATTGAGGCTGGTGACTATGTGCACATGAGAAATAAATGCCCACACCGGGTTATATTTGAACTCTCTGCCTCTGCCTCCTTGCTTGGTTGGGCCGCTCGATTGTCAGCTTCACATAGTCTATTATAGAGTTTTATAATAAGGCTGCTTGTTTGTTTTTAATTCATGAGCGATGTCTTTTTTAAATGCTGCTGTAACAAAAATTCTAAAATTGGGTCAATAAAGTTAGTTATATAATCTAAAGGTGAACACTGCAACATTGCTCAAAGAAGATGTCTGACAGGAAAAGAAACACAAGCAGTTAAACAATCAACAACTCAAGAAAATGAAGCTTAAAGTCAAAATGATTACTCAAACAGTAGTAAATATCCTTCACAGTTTAAAGTCAAATTTGACTTAAAGTTCTTACTGCAGTTGTGGATCAGACCGTTTTCTGTGCAATGAATTATTGTTAGAGCTCATTGTGCCCACTGTTTTCATTTCCCAATATGTAGTTTAGATTATTCAACTGTTGATGGTTGTTTAAACTATTATGTTTCGTACCCTTTGTACCAATTGAAATGTACAAAAATAAGATCCAAGTTGAAATACAATTATCCTTCCCAAGGTCTCTCTTTGTTGTACAACACTTTATGTAATGTGATTTTAAATTAAAGCTTTTATTTGTCCTTTTTAAGCTGAATTATGTTATTATTATTACATGGGTGGCCATTAGGGGGTAGAGAATAATAAATACAGGGAGACAGTCCAGCAACAATGACAATTTCCCCAAGTAGAAATGTGTTTTGCTTTGTGTTAGCAACATAGAGACATTAGCATTCATTTCGACTTCTCAGACTCTTTTGAAGCTTTTTCAGTCATCAAAAAAGACAGAAAAAAGCTGCTAGATTGTTGACAAAGCTACAGTAACACAAACAATTTGATGCAGCTATAAAATAGAAAGGGTAAACAGCATTCCTGATTAAAGCATAATGCTCTAAAAGCCAACATTTGAGGAAATCCTAGCTCAATTAAACCAACAAATGATTATGTAGTACATTTCTCGCATGGATTAATGGGATCTTTTTTTCTGTTGAATTTTGGATTCATATATTCCCATTGTATGTTTTTAACACTATCAAATTTTTTTTTAGGTGGCTCCTGATGAGGAGACGCCAAAGGATGCTACAAAAATAAGTGTAAGTAATCTGTTAAACCTCTCTGAGAGAAGCCTTATGTTTGTCCTTGGTGTAATATTATGAAATGAGCCACAACACCCTGATGATTACATGAAAACATCTTGCTCTGAATGATCAGCAGATGTTGTACTTATGCTGTGTTACACACACATCTGAGTTTCAGCTGCCGTAGACGCTCCGTCCTTTATGGGATGTAGAATCACAGTGTCAGCCGAAGAGCCGGCAGCGCTGATGTGGGGGGGGAGGGTCCTCCTTAAGGGAGCACCACCTGCAATGCATCATCTTTGGATTCTCATAAACACTTCCTGTATCTTTATGAGTACACACCCAATCTGAATAATAAACAATGAGGGGGACAGTGTGGGAAGTCAGCAGAAGTTTTTATATCTTCTCCGGTGTCTAGGCACACAGCTTTCCCACAACAAGCAGCCAGGCCCAACAGAGAAGTGACTACAATTGAACTTGTTACTTCTTTTTATTGTAGAATTCAGCAGGATGTATGAACTACTTCACATAACCAACACATGCTACTGTCTACTTTTAAAAGGGCCCTGATGTGCTTTTTGGGGGTTTCCCTTTCCTGTATTGTTTCCTTGGTTTTTGTGCATGTAAATGGTCTGCAAAGGCTACAATCCCACAGTCACAGAAGCAGCACACAATACAAAAAAAGAACCAAAAAAGGAGCATAATGGGGCCCCTTTAAATTGCTACAAAGCAGTTATGTATGTCAAAGTACAAATAAATTGCTATGTTAAAAATATCACATATGCAAAGATGGGTTGTGAGAAAACAAAAGCACACAGAAAACATGAAGCCTCTCTTCTTCCTCCCATGAGGCTAGATGATTCGCTATAATGAAAGCACCAGGTGTGTGTGTGTGTGTGTGTGTGTGTGTGTGTGTGTGTGTGTGTGAGGGTGTGTGTGTGTGTGTGACACTGCAGGCTGTACAGTTTGAAAATCATTATGATGTTTATGTATATAATGAATGTTGGCCCACATTCGTGCAGCAGTATGAAAACATGCCTGATGAATAGTGCTACCAAACAGCATTGAGCTTCCACTAATTGTCACACACACATGCAGGGAGCAGCAAACACACATAGCCTACTGCATGCTACCATCACAAAGAGGAAGGTGGATGATAAACAAAGTTGTATTTATATCTCAGTGCGTCACATGCCACGATGTCCCCAGACTCTCATCATCTCAAGAGCGCTTATCTTTGAACTTGCAAAGCTTTTACTTCTACTTTAAAAGCCACACATATATTTTTTAAGCAGTAGCTATGTCTGAGTGTGTGTGTTTGTGTGTGTGTAGGAGTAATTTGCTGAGAGTTCCTCTAGAGTGAATCCAGGCTGCAATACATCTTTGCTGAAGCTCTCATATTCTTTGTACCTCTCTATCACTGCATGTATATGTCTTCCAAAAATATGCATTATTTATGATAGGCATCCATAGAGTTCAGAGATATATTGTGTTTTACTAAATCTGCCTAAATGAACATATTAAAACGCCTAAAAGATAAAGTATACAAGTATACGATTTTCTCTTACCCTATTTATTCTATAGTTACCTAGTTATTTATAAAATATACAAAAAACTGACATAGTATGTCGAAAATATTTCTTTAAAAAAACGTAGTATCGTATGTTGAAAATATGTGTGTCGAAAAAATCTATAAGAAAACGACATATCTATTATGTCAAAAATATATAAGAACGAGGTAGTATTGTATGTCGAAAATATATTTCAAAGACGACATAGCATGTCGAAAATATGCAAAAAAACCACATAGTATATAACGGCATAGTATAGTATGTCGAAAATAAACAAAATAGTATAGTATGCCGAAATATATAGGAAAAACAACATATAGTATGTCGAAAATATGCAAAGAAACAACATAGTATAATATGTGGGAAATATGCAAAAAAACAAGATTTAAGGTATGTCGAAAAATTTAAAAAAACACATTGTATATATATATTTTATCCAGGATCAAAGCCACATAGTTGCACCTGCAAGGTGAATACTGGTATTAAAAAAAGTGTTTGAATGCGTACATTAACAGGTTTATGATATCACTGCCTAAGACACAAGTGGATCTGACTTTAATTACAT